GTCAACAAATATCTCATTAGTTATTCGATGTATCACTACAATCACGATGTATCTCTGGTTATTTCGTTCGTAGATACAGCGACTTCCGTAACTGCAACAAACGTTCCAATGCCCCAAAACGCCCAAATGCCTCCAAATGCCCCAAATTAGCTACCCGGAAAGCAAACGCGCACACATGTATGGTTTCTGCGACCATCAGACGAGTGCCAGAGCAAAACCCCTGAAACACACGGGCCATGGACCGCACGCGGTTTTCCTTCCTTCTCCTTGTCCTTTTGCCACCCAAGACTTGAACGCTCTTACACTTAAACGCACGTACTACACGAGCACACATGCCGAGCACCACACACGAGCCAATTTTCAAACCTTTTTTTCTTCTTTTTTTGAAACGGCTCCAATTTTTTAAACTCTTCTCCTCGTGTGTAAAAAAGACGGTATATAATGGGAAGCTAGGTCCATTTCCGGAGAAAATTTCTGTTTTTTTCAAAATTTACTTAAAAGTTAACATTACAAAAGAATAATATTGAAGAGAGAAATTTTAGACTCAAATAAAATCCGTTCTAAAAAAATCAGATCTTTAAAAAAGCTCATGTGCATTTTTTTGAAAAAAACAAACAAACAAAAACTACTTGTTTTGGCGTAACATATTTTGAAGTTAGTGCAAATAAAAAAAAACTTTTCGAAAACCACTCCAATTTTTCCTCAAATACTTTTCCACGGATGGAAGGACCGCTTTAAAAAATTGCGCAGGTCTCATTTTTGTTGAACTGTGAATTTTCGAAAAGCGCTCAACGCCCAAAAGATGGCTAAGAGTTGTTGCTGCGAAAAAAGGCGCAACAAAATACCCTTCGTACCCATACGTCAACTTCGTTGCAATAAAAAACTGTAACATCGAAGCTTAACAGAACAATTACAGAATTGTAGATTCAATTCGAAAATGAATAAACCTAAAGCAATACGAAAATAACGGTCTCGCAATTCTCTAAGAACTAAATATTACCCCGACATTTACTTGGATTACGTCGTTTCATGACCGACCAATTTCGGCATGAAACCATACACAAGACAATTCAAGAAAGGTCTTAGATCAGCTTATATTTCAATAAACTGCGAGCTCGAAAAGAAAGAACTGGCTATAAATAACAATGTATCAGAATAAGCATGTCATTTTCATGAGGATAAAGCCGGAAACCAGAGTAATATTTTTACTCGTTTCGCTTAATAACCACTCCGCAAAAGTTAATTTGGTCTTAGAAAATTCAAAATTGCTAACAACAGTGTTGCCGATGTTGTTGGAACGCTTGTATCTTAGTCATCTAATGAGACCAGCGAGCTAGAATATAGTACATAGAGTGGCAGCGCTCTTGGAGGAGGCTTGCGGAACTAGTGGCCGCCAGGTTCTTCAAGTCAAAGCATACGAGAGGCGGTGAATTCAACTGCTGTACTGAATCGACGAGGTATTGTTCGTATCACAACTTACTTCTTTTTTGTTTGGCATTTAACGGTATTTAAATACCGGCATTGCAATAACACTCACTTTCAGGCTTTATGTTAACTGCAATAACATTTCAATACTTCCATTCTAATGACAATAATCGATGAAGCAACATGTAGTTAAAGTTTCTCAATTGGTTCTCCTATCATATTGTCATTCCGTTGTTAAATTATTGGTGTTTGATCGTGAGAACACACACGCGGCCCGCGCCCACTCATTCGTAAGCAGCGCCAAACGTAATGCTAGACTTCGTTTCCCAGAGGGCGCTGCTCTGATTGCAAACACATGGCTTCAATTTGCTTCAAAGATGGAGGCGCTTCAGCCACTCCATGTAGTACATTCCAGCTCGTTGAATGAGAGTTCACGTAGCAGACAACTCTGGATGTAACATGGAGTAAGCACTGAACCTTTCTCCGCTAATGGGCTTTGTGCATCGTACGCATGTGTACGGCAATATATAAGTTACGCTTTTCATTTCTATACTTAAACATTCGTAACTTAATCTTATCGCATTTCCTCTGAAGAATTTCCTCTTAAGCTTCCGTCGACACGTCTGAAGTGTGCATTTTTATGGCAATGTGTATGCGTACGCACTCCCATACTGGAATGAAATATTTGTGGACAAGTGAATGCTTGCTCATAAGATAGGCAATTACTACCTTCTCTTACTACAGACTTAACTATATTTTTAAACATCTGAATTTAATTATAAATTTTGTTTGTACTTTCGTGATAATTTACTTGAAATATTTTACGAAGATATTTTAATTTAAATAATGTAATATATGTAAATTCAAAACATATAAACACAATTCAATGCATATAAATAAAAAGAAAATAGTGCAATATTAAAAAAATAAAAACAATATTTTCTCAAAAACGGCTCCAATTTTTTCTTAAAAATTTTGCACAGAAAATGATAAATGAACTGAAAAACGCGATATAAACGCAATTTTAATGTGCCCATACTACTGGCCGGCGGAAACAGGAGAAGACACAGGAAACGAGCAAAGGAAGGACTTTCGCGAGAATAAATCCTTTCATTTGAGGACAGTGAAGCTATAAAACAAGCGTTAGACGTCCTAAGCAATGTCTAATGTCATATTCATTATTCGTGAATCATAATTACAGTACTTTGAGTATTTTCAAAAAATAAAGAAGTCCGAAGTATATTCTTACTATTTCTACTAGAGTTAGTGTACACTAGACCTAACAAAATACATTTATTGTCTTGTTAGTTTTTCTCGGCCACAAATTACGGTAGTTTTGCTATTTTGAGAATGGAAAGAATTTCAAAGTGCATTTTTACTTTCTCCCTACGGAGTAGAGAGAAAGCTATGTAGGACTGCGCGAAAAACTCTGAATTTTCGGCAAAGTGTCTTATTACAGGGTCCTGGTGACGAAAAAGTCGATAACTCCAGTTGCTAAATTTATTTAAAAATACTCAATCAATGGTAGTCTGAAGTAGTTTGAGGTAGTCTGAAATGGTAATCTGAATCAAATGTAGTCTGAATCCATGATTTCTGGGTCCTTGATACTGAAAAATCGAATGACGGCCAAAAATATCTGTCCGTCTGTCAACAACGCAAGCGATTAAACGGTACAGCTGATTTTCTCGAAAGTTTATATTTCTCTATCGATCTGACTCATGTCGCGGCTCCTTGAATTTGAAATTGATATTTTAATTTTAGGGGTTACTTTGCATGTAGTCCCTGGGACACTTTCCAAATTTTCAAAAATATGGCTCCATCGTGTTTCATTAAATTTTGTTGTTCGATAATGTGAAGGACGTTTAAGAGAATGGTAGAGGGGTTATTGTCGTTGAAAACCTGATTTTTTGGAAATTCCAAAAAACCAAAATTTTTTCGGAGTTTTCATACAAATACGATTATGAAAATAGAGATTTTTCCCTTAACGAAATGTGTTCCTTAGCGATAGATTTTGAAATAACACCACGTACAATTTTTCGAAAATTTGAGTACCTCTCGTGTAGTTTGGCGTGAAAGTACCGGCGAGAAAGAACGTGCAGTTACGCACCACCAGTGGTTGAACAGTGTAATCACTAAGGACGGATTTTGATGACCTAAAACGTGTCCAAAATATCAATAAAATGCGCTTAAAATGTTTTAAAATGCCCGAAAAACAAAGAAAAATTATTTAATTTTTGTTATGAAAACCACTTCAGATGAACAACTCTAGCTGTTGGAAATGTTACTGATGGAATTGGAGCACCTTCCGTTTGTTTAAGTGAACTCAGCTAGCAAACTTTTGATTTGAACTGTTCTTTAAAACAAATCTCTGCCTTAATTTAATGCGAAATCGATTGAACTGACAATGGTGCCAATAGGCGTCACAGGAATCTTAGATTACATAGTACTCATAACGGCTCACATTGCAATATATAAGCGAAGAAACCGAATAGGCTACTCAGGAATTCTGAGCTGAACATTTGTTGCGCCTCGCAAATATTGTTTGAAGCAAGTACGAAAAAGGCGTTAAAAGTAAAATAAAAAGGTAAAAAACGTATTAACATTACGTTACAATGTAAAAATATGGTCATTCCTTTTTTCCACAGCATAAAATGAATTTCTATACTAAACGGCTTTGTTCTAAAGGAAAAGGAAAAAAAGAAAAGAAGGCATTTCATTAAAACCCGTAGGGCCCCTAGCAAGCACTGCGCGTGCGCCGGCCCGTCCTTCGCAACCGCCGCCGCCGCCGCCGCGACCGCACATCCTCCGTGTGTGTGTGTGTGTGTGTGTGCGTGTGTGTGTGCGTGTGTGTGTGCGTGTGTGTGTGCGTGCGTGTGTGCGTGTGTGCGGAGGGGCGCCGGGCGCAGAGGCGCGCAGTGGCTGTCGCTGCTGCTGCGGAGGGCGGATCGAGCGCAGGCGACATGGAGCGGCGATGGACGCGCGCTGTCACCAGGTGCGTACACACACACACACACACACACACACTCTCTCTCTCTCTCTCTCTCTCTCTCTCTCTCTCTCTCTCTCACACACACACACACACACACACACCCACCCACGCTTCCAAGCGACACACTGCAATTTGCAGTTCAAGAATCCATTTAACCACCACTGATCTTCCTGTTTTGACAATTAAATATTTTTAATATCTTTCTCTACTCCCTGACATTTCTCTGTGCCTAAATTCTTCAGTGTATTCTACCTACTTAAATTCCACATCCTCAAAATATTTTCGGGCAGTTTTGATACTTTTGAATTACTCTGGTATTATTGGAACACTTTTATTTATGTCAACTATCAGTTTTATTTTTTTAGTTTTGGAACACACTTCACAGAATTTACTTCCTCCTAGCCAGAGGAGATTTCACTAGCTTACAGATAGTAGTTCGCGACAAGTCTTCATACTCGACAGAATTGCCGGAGAAAGCTAACAGTATTTCATCCAGTAATTCGATTGAAATGGCACCAAAATGACTCAGAAGACGCAAACTCTAATGGAATTTGAATTCGCAGCCCAGAAGCGAACGATTTCTTCTTGGAAGTTTTATTCTCCCTCGTTCACACAGACATTATATGAAAATAGTTTTTTTAAAATTTAATTACAAGTTGTCTCTTTCCGTGTCACGTTACGCACGTGACGCAGAGATTACGAACGGATATATCTAACCACTTATTCCTTCCATTTAATTGTGTTGTCACCACGAGACATTTTTAGGTCATCATGTACTCCAAGTAAAGTGAAGAACTACAAGCAGAATAACGCTGGGATTTTTATTAATGACGCAAATATTTTCTGCGTGGCTGATAAACTTTTCATTGATGAGGCGTCCATTTTCGTGCCCTTCCTTTCTGCCTACCTACTTTGTAACTGGGCGAGGGACATCCTGAAGCACTGACAATGGATATTTTTATCACTTCTCACGAGAAATCGTTCATTTTTTAATTTTTATTTACACGGCGGCCGTTGTTCTGTCAGTCCTTTTCTCCCTCATCGTCTCCCCTCCCCTTCTTCACAGAAAAATGTAATGGAATGTTCAAAAATACCTAACCCCGTATATTACAGTGTAAGAACGTTTCGAGGTCATAAGATGCTTCGTGTAGGAGTTATTTATTTTACATACTTCCCGAATTTTGCGAACATGAATATTTTGTTTTGTTCTTCTTTTTCGTGAATTTTCCCGATATTTTAAGAGTTATTCTGCTATTTGGGCCGGAGATGAATCCAACAAATTTGAGATAATTAAACAATTGGTCCAGCCGCTCTTGAGTTAATGATGCAACTAACCCGACTTTATTTTCTTTACTTAGATTTATTCATGGTCAAAAATGTAAAAATCATGTATCTTATGGGGGAGAAATATAATCTAAATTGTACATTGATGTAAGTTAATTATTCATAAATTGCAAACCTTAATCGAATGCGTGATTCTGTGTGTATTGCAGATCATACATTTTCCATTGTAGTCTTGTTATGTACATATTGTGTTGTTGGATAATGCAATTCGTCATTACGCTAGTGTATAAGTGAATAATCGGAGATTTAAAACAACTATCTGCATTGCCACATCTAACGCTCAGTATCTTTCAAATATTTTCCATTTCATCAACTACCTTTTCCTGTTGCTGTTTCTAGTCACCAAGACAATAACATGAAAACAACAACGAGTCGCATATCCGAATCATGTGTGAAGAGAGCACGAAAGAAGTGAAATTTTGAATTCCCGTTGATTAGATATTTTCATGTGCTTTTGAAATAAAATAATCGATCATAATTGAAAAACTTGTATGTATTTGAAAATATGGGATATAATGAACCTCTATTATAGTAAATCAAAAATGTTAGTCTCTAGATGTTCGTTATAATCAGAATTGACTGAAATACGAAAAGGAGAGAATACGACATTAATATGATAATTTATCTTTACAATAACTAGTTACTTAGTGACTGAACTCTCAGTAACTCTAGTTCAGATGCTGAGACTTGTAAGTACAAGCAAGTGCATAATGTAGAGTTAGCACAACCAAACTCCATCCAAACTCAAAATTGAATAGCACATAATTTGCAATTTTTTTGCCTCACTTAAGATGTAATGTATTACATTTTATCACTGCATTATTCTGCCTCAGTTTAGACAAGTCATTGTAACCTGTTACTTTTTCAAGTTTTATTTGCTCACTCCTAATTTATTGTATATTATTATCATATTTTATATTTACTCGCCTCACCTGGGCGAATTTGCCGCGGATATTTTGTGAAGATGATATATTAATTTGATTTGTTCCTCAATCTTTAGTACATAAAAAGCGAAAAGTTTTGAATTAAGTTTTGTATTTATAAGAGCATTTTCAAACGCTTGAGTGTAATGTTTACTGTCTTGAGCAATTATATAATGTTTTTCTGTTAATATTTTTGTAAAGAAAGGGCGTATAATTCTGGTTTCTTCACTAACCGTTTAACTTGTATTATTTGCGGATTTGGTAACGCGTCAGTTATCTTCCAAAGGAAGTGCGCAAGAACACGGACTGTTTTTGAAAAAAATATTCGTGGCAAATTTAGTTTTCACATAAAAACAGAGGCAACAAACAAACAACGGCGAATAATGCACTATTCAATCACGAGTTTGGATGAAATGGATGTGCTCACTTCCAGGGTGTGGTTCTTTGATAATCGCGTATTGGGTGTGTACCCATTTCCTTTTATACCGATGGCCTCATTTTAAATTTCTCCGTGAGAGAATTCATATCAATATTCTCACGTGCTTCTAGGCATAATTTGTATGAATTCACAGAAAAGTCTTCACGGAGAAGACACACAAGAAACTAAAAACTTCATTAATAATATCCCTGACCATTAACTGCACATCCAAAACGTAACCTATCAGCTGGCGGTCACGCGCATATGAAAGATGTAAGGATACAATAGGCGAAGCCACGCGGTCTATGGCGGTGTTCCACTGTTTCAGAATCGAAAACTAGCACATAACATCATAAAAAGCTACAAACCGAAAACTAGCACATAATAAACAACACATAATTTCTTGCACATTTGTAACTGTTCCAATATTTGAAAACTCAGAGTTCATAAAACATTAGACCTGCACCATTTTTATAACAGTACTTTGCTCCATATTCAAAAAAAAGGTCGAGACGTTTTTGAAATTTTTTTATAAATTGACTTTATTTCAAGAAAAACTTACGCAAAAATACTAGTATTTAAAAAAAAGCAGTAAATGATCATAACTCAATAAATTCGATTATCAAATAATTCTGATTAAGAAAAAACTAAAGTTAAAAGCAATTTTGCAAAAATACGAAATTTTACTCGTTACTTATTTACAATTTCTGAAAACAGAAGAGTTTAACAAAAGCACAATGTCTCTGGTACGAGTTCGTTTCCAGATGTTTCCCTACTTCATCACCCACTTTCTAGCTTCCACCTATCGGCGTGAGAAACAAATTTTTGCATTAGCTCCATTATTCGGTACCGTATTAGCGAAATAAAAAAAAGGTGGTACAATAGCACATATTTGGCGCATAATTTCTAAACTATATACTTTACTAATCCAAAGAGTTCAACAAAAATTACTTTTGACCTTTTCTTAACAGAACTATGCGCTTTTCAAGAAAATTAGTGGTGGTAAAACTGTAAATATTTTTTGAGCCTAAAAAGTTTTTGAGCCTAGAGGGTTGGCGTGTGCACAGATTGTCGAAGAAAGAGGCGCGCTGGGTCGGAGGCGAGGTCGGAGGCCGCGTCCTACCAGTTCCTGCGGGCCGAAGGGTGCTGCTGGGTGGTGAGAAGGAGGGAGTGTGGGAGTGAGAGTGAGGGGCGGTGCGTGTGCGCAGGCTGGAGAAGCACGAGGCGCGCGCGGAGGCGGGGTCGGAGGCCGCGTCCTACCAGTTCCTGCTGGCGGGGCTGGTGGCTGCGCGCCTGCGCGTGCTGCGCATGCGCCGCCCGGAGCTGCACCTGCGCTTCCTGGTAGCGTGCGACGTGCGCGGCGCCGAGCCCTTTGACGACCTCGTGGTGCACCTCCGCTGGGACTACCAGGTACCACTGCCCTTTGCACTCGAGTTTTTGTTGTAATTGCAAATGCAACGGCCGTTTTAGAGGTAAAAGCTTTTTGTCTGAACGGTTTTTTGGTATGGAGGAGGAAAAGAAATATCTTTTACCTTTACTTAGTATGTTTACTTTGAATTAAAATTGTATTCATGTGAAGTTAAAATGTGGATATCACGATCAGCGAAAGTGAATCAATATCTTACTTTTCACACTTATTCTTAGTACTTTAATATTATGCCGGAATCGATATTTTGTTGTGTTGGCTTAAATATGTCCCTTATTTTTGGGGTAAAGGGATGGTGATGGAAAATGTTTAAATGTCTTTGGTTTGTTCAAAACTATAACTACACAATGATGTAAATAGGAAATTGATACGTCAATTATTTCTACGATATAGATCAGTCGCTGTAAATAAAACTAACGGGAAACGTCTCCTAACTTGTATTGCTTTAATAGATTGTGTTAGTCTACATAAATTTTTCACTTCGAATATTTTCTAAATGGTTCAATATATTGAGATTCAATTTTAACTATGATTCAGGACTCGGTTGCCCGTTAGTGGTAGTTATAGTGATTTGATTGATTTTGTGGAGAGCAGATAATGGACTAACTTTGTGTTTTTATGGAACTATTTACATTTTACACAAATGTATGTTTTAAGAAGACCGTTATAAATATGAAATTTATTAAGATAACTTATTAAGAAAATCGGCAAATTAAGAGAAATAAGTAGCTCTCAGTTGCCTAATCCTTTACGTGTGCAATACCTGATCACAATGACAACAGGTATCGTAAGTCTCCGGAATTTTTTGACTCGACGTCTGTGGAAACACAATAACGACTAATTAAAAGACCTGAAAATAGGTCACCGGTGTGGGGATCCTCCTTGTCCAACCACCAACTACTAGTCATAGAAACTTGTCGATTACGTGAGCACACACCTGGTCATCGAGCAACGGCAATGAAAGGGGCGGGGAGAGCCCGGCGACTTGGCGGGAAAGGGTCCTTAGGCCGCCGAGGCATCAACCCTTCTGCCCTCTGCTACAATGCACTTTGCCAAAATGTGCTCCAGCAAGCGCGAAGTAAGTCACCGTAACATCATCGGAAAGCAAATACTAATCAACTCCCATTCGGCGGAATACGACTAGCCCGTACCTGCCCGTTTAAACTATCCGATCAGGAAGCAACTGTAACCGGAATGCAATTCGTTTGCGGGCTAGTCGCATCCACGAGCGCTGCTGAGGGTTGCGGTTGCAGGGCCGGCGGCGGCTGCTGTCGTACCTGGTGCTGCTGGCGGCCGAGGCGGGCGCGCGCGTGGACGTGGCCGGCTGCCTGGCGGCGTTGGGGGCCGCCGCGGACGCCGCCGCGCGGCCGGAGGCGGAGGGGGCGGAGGCGTCGCCCACGCGGCGCCTGCTGCGCGAGTGGTTCCGCGAGGACCTACGCCTGGTGGTGGTGACGCGCGGGCCCTGGGCGGAGGGGGGCGAGGGCCCCGGGCCCCCCGCGCACCTCGACTTCCCCTTCGAGGGCGTCTTCCACACGGGCTGCGGCCGCCGCGACTTCGTGGCCGCCGACGCCGCCGACCCGCACGCTGCCCTGCGCCGGAAGCTGTGCGTCTTCAGCGAGCAGGCGGACGTGGCCTGCCTCGGCCGACAGGTGACTGTTCCCGCCCGTCCTATCCTCCATCGCTCATTATCATACTTTTCATCCCGCGTTCAACTTCCGGCCAGGGCAAAAATACAGATATTTGCATGATAACCACAAAGACAAGGTCAGGATGGCAAGCCCAAATATCGAAACCACGCCTCCCGACTGCCCAGTCAGTGCGCCACGCCCGTGTCTAATTGGCTCGGTATTTTATTATTATTATTATATTATTATTATTATTGTTATTATTATTATTATTATTAATTATCTTTATTATTACTATTATTAACAAAACATTAGAAAATATTTATTTAACATAGAGTAAAAGCAGTAGATTCTGACAGATGTAATGGCGAGAAATCCTTCGTAGCGCCAGTGCCACCGCTGAGTGGAGCAGAAGGCGGGCGGGCGGGCTGAGCGGAGGGGCGGGGCGGCGCAGGTGGCGTTCGCGCTGGAGGACGCGCTGGGCGGCAGCGTGCTCTACTCGGCCGACGCGCCGCGGCGCTACGCGACCTTCCTGCGCGAGTGGTGGGGCGGCGCGGCCGGCGACTGCCTCTCCGACGACTCCACCGAGCTCGAGGCCATCGTCCGCGACGAGGCGCACGCCCAGCTGCGCCCGCTGCGCTTCCAGCACAGGTACGCGCCCTGCCAGCGGCCCCCAGGGCATCAACGACAGGGGAAAGACTATCTGCGCACGTCTTCCTCACTTCCAGAATACCTTCACGTCATTTTAACTATAAATAGTTCAAAGATGACTAAAGGTTTAACATAAAGAAATGAAAATAAATTTTAAAAATTGCAAGATTAGCAACATTTCAAAAGCTAGACTTTTCGTTCCCGAATTATAGAAAACTTATTTGCATCGGTACACGAATTGCAAGTATGATTTTTCTGCATTGCTAACTCGCCCTACGCCTACTCCTTCCATTACAAGCAAAAGGAGAATTCAACAAAACGTGAATACAGATAGTGAAGCTACATTTACGTCCAGAATCAAAACATTGGTCACCGCAGTGCCTGTGACCGGGAGGGGCTTGGGTTGCACTCCTGACGGTGGTGAGACTTTCGTCGCTAGCTCCTCCGCTAGGTCTAATTCAGCCGCTGTCTCAATTACAGAGGGGAGAGCTCTTACGGATAGTCTCCCTTCGCTTCTCGGATGGACCCCAGACTAAGGCCCGAGCAGAACTAACGAACGAGCCACTGATTGCGCGCGATCTTTCCACCGACTTCCTTTTGCCCTACCCTCACCGCTTACACACACACATTGCTACTCACGTGCACACATGCCCAGAGACCATTCGAGAAGGAAAGAGCTTGACCAGGTTGGGGAAGTGCGCGGCTGGTGGGAGATACCGGGTTCGTAAAATTCCGCGGGTAGGATCTCGCCACCCAGCAGAGAAACACCAAAGCCTCCTCCAGAGGCGGGAACACGCACTACACTTACGAGACTACTGACTAGTAGTCGACGCGCCCAGAATCACTGGCAGACCCGCGCGCTCACGAGCTGGTGCGCAGGTACCTGGCGCCGGCGGCGCAGTCGCTGGCGGGCTTCCGCACGGCGCTGGTGGTGGTTCCGGGCATCCCGCAGGAGGCGCGCGCGTCGCGGCTGCAGCCGGCGCTGGCGGCGTCGCAGCCCGGGCGCTTCGCCGTGCTGACGCAGCGCGCGCTGCGCTCGCACCCGCTGCCCGTGCTCGAGAGCATGTGCGCCGCGCTGTGCGACGAGGTGGCGCTGGCGGTGGACGAGCTGGACGCCGCCACGCGCGCCTTCGTGCAGCGCCTGCTCACGCACACGCGCTGCCGCGTGCGCCTCCTCGCGGCCGAGTGGAGCGCCGCCGCGCTCGACCTGCTCCTGGCGGCGGGCGACGGCGACGCCTGCAACTACTGGTCCGAGCGCTGGGCGCTGGAGCAGCTGCTGCCCGAGGAGCAGGAGCTGCTGGCCGAGCGACGCGTCAGCTTCCAGGTACGGGTGCTTCGCAGCCAGGGCACGTCGCTTGTGAAGCGAAACCAGACGCTGGACGCCATAAAGCATGGAGAGCGGGAAGCGTGGAAAAACACTTCGAAAATGGCACAAAGTGACAAGTTTTAACGGTAACCAACCAAAAATAACACGAAGGTGTACAAGATGCATTATTAAAAGAAATGTTTCGTAAATGTGTTTCAATGTCTCGTAACGATGTGATATGTCTGAAGCTCATTGGCTGACGAACCCTCCGTCCCTGGATGTGACATCAGCAACGAAACATCGATGCTCAAATTTAACTCATCGATGTTAATAAAACACTGACACCAAACATCGATGTTCGAAACTAACTTAGCGAAGTTAAAAATATATTGGCTCCAAAACATCGATGTTGCAAACATCTGTGCTCGAAAGTAACTGGAATTCCTAAAAACATCCGGGAGACCGGTGTGAGCTCCGAGCTTGTCCCGGCTTGGACGGTGCCATGCTGGTGGGGGATGGTTGGGTATGTTTTTTCATTTCCGATGCCCTGTTTCTGAATGAAAAATCCCCATGATAATTATTCTGTAAAAGTTAAAATATGAAAACCGTCTGATTGTTTGTTCATGTGTATTGACCACACTGAAATGTGGTTATTCGTCGAAGTGCATGTGAATGCCGTTGCAGGGGCTGGAGATGGCGCTGCGCGACCTGGAGGAGCCGTTCGCCGGGGTGCGCGGCGCGGTGCGCGGGGCGGCGCTGGGCGCGCTGGCGCTGGACCGGCCCGTGGCGCTGGGCGCGGCGCTGCCCGCCCCCGGCGCGCACCTGGTGGCGCGCACGCTGCTGCACCGCTCAGCGCCTCGCGCCGTCCGTCTTTGCGCTGAGCAGCGCCGGGACCACGTCTTCCTCGGGGGCTTCCCGCGTCCCGCGCTCGCCGCGCTGCGCCGCCCCGACGCCGCGTGGGCCGAAGTGCGCGCAGCCGTGGGCGCTGGCGGGCGACCTGGCCGCCGCCGCCGCCGCGCTGCAGCTCAAGACAACGTGGAGCGCGGTGCGACGGCGGCGGCGCGCGCTGCGCCGCCAAGTGGGGCGCCGGCAAGGCATGCACTGGCGGCGCACGACCGGCCGCCACGTGCTGTGGAGCGCCCCGGACGGCGACCCGCGCTCGCTCGCGCGCCAACGTCGACCGCCAGCGCCCCCGTGCCGCGACGCGCCGCTCTGCGCGCACGCACACGCCGCCGACTTCTCCACTGGAAGGAGCGCACCGTGCTGCTGGCGGGCGAGCCGGGCAGCGGCAGGTCCACCTTCCTGCTGCCACTGGCCCAGGAGGTGCAGCGGCGCGCGGGCCCGCCACTGGGTGCTGCTGCTCAGCGCTGCACGAGGGCCGCACCTTGGACATCCTGCCCGACGGGCGGAGCGCGCGACGTGCTGCAGCGCTGCTCAAGAAGGCGGCGGGCACGGCGCAGACACGCCACCGCGACACGGCCAACCTGCTGCCGCAGGCGTCGCTCGGCGCGCGGGCAACCCTGACGTGCTGGTGGACGGCGTGGACGAGGTGCGCTGCCACCTGCGGCCAAGGCACTGCGCCTGGTGCAGGCGCTGCGCGCGGCTGGACGCCACGGCTGCCAGAGTGGCTTGGCGGCGGAAACCGGGCCTGGCGCCCCCGGCTCCGCCCTCGCCTTCGACTGCGGCCCGGCGCTGTCCCTGCAGCCGCTCGGCGCGCGCGACCAGCTCGCCTACTTGCTGCGCAGATGGCGCGGCTGCGTGGACTGCGACGACGAGCGGCGCGCGGAGGACGGGATGGCCCACCTCGTCCACGCCATCAGGGAGGCCACGCTCACCGACGGCGCGGGCCTCTGTGACGCGCCCCTCTACATGCACATGCTGGCCGAGGCCTACATGAACGACCTCGAGGTCCTCCAGCGCGGGGACGTGGCCGACCTGGCGGCGCTGCTCACCCCGACCGCCGTGTGCGCGCGCTTCGTGCGCAAGAGCCTCAACGCCATCTGCTGCAGCGGAGGCGACCTGCTCGCGCTCGACACCTGCGTGGACGACAGCAGCGTCAAGAAGCACACGCTCTACGCCGCCATGGAGTGCTTCGCCAGCAAGCAGTGGCTGGGCGGACACTTCGACAGGCTGCAGAAGGTGCGTTCGCATTCTATACAAATTATTCAGAGAGTAGTTTGACTCTTCGCGGGTTCTTTAACATTTTTTGTGCCTCACATTTCATGCTAAGCAGCGTTAGAAGTTCATTGTCTGCGTTATTCTACGTGCCTTGCATAGTTTTCTTCACAATGCTTCGTGCTTCATTCTTCGGTTAGATGTAATCAACTGCCTGATTAGTATATCATCTTGATGACTGACTACATACTTCCCAATCCCGACTACTGCATTGGGCCAGGAGGCCTCTTCCCCCTTCCTTACGTGACGCATAAAGTCTACGAACATCAGCTCGAGGGTGGGCGACGTGATGCATTGTAAGCAGCTTTCTGCTTTCGTAATCCACGATACCAATTTCTCGCTTAGTCCAGTCTACTAGCCCGAAATTGTACTCGACTAGAGGCATCGCCAATCCAATAATTTCAAAAAATTTATTCCTTGAGTTCTGGGCGGACTGCAGGACGAGTCTCACTCTTTGTAACACTTGCTGTAACTTTCATTGTGTCGCTCCAAATAGTCTTTAATACCCAAATGTTTGTCAGTTTTATTATTATTGTTGTTGTTGTTGTTGTCGGTGGTGTGCGGGCGCAGGCGGTGATCCAGCTGGAGACCGCCTTCCGGCGGGGCGAGTGGGTCCAGACGGGCGTGGTGAGCGCCCTGGTGGACGGCCGGCCGATCTTCGTGCACCGCTGCGTGGCGGAGTTCCTGGCGGCGCTGTGGCTGCGCGACCACTTCGCCTCGCTGCCCGAGACGCTGGCGGCGCTGTACGACGGCCTCTTCGCCGGCGTGCGCCTCTTCTTCGACGCGCTGCTCGCCGAAGGTCACCGCGCGCCGCGCCCCCTCTCCCCAACACCTCCTCTCCTCTCCTGCTACAGCTCACATTTACTTTTCTGATTCATTGATTAGGCCACGCCCACACTAACCTCTCCTGCCAACAGCTCACATTTACTCTGCCCCGTTTCTGATTCATTGATTAGGCCACGTCTACACTAACCTCTCCTACCAACAACTTACATTTACATTTACTGGAATTTGAAACTTATATATTAATTTAGGGATGAACTTTACTTAAGCTCCTGGGATATTTTCCAAAGTTTAACAAAACAAATTGCTTCATTGTTTTTAATTAAATTTTGTTGTTTAAAATGTGAAGGACGTTGAAGGGAATGGCGCAGGTCTCATGTTGGTGAATAAGTCTAATTTTTCGAAAATCGCAAAAGTTAAAAAATATTCGGAGTCTTTCTAACACTAATATATTAAAGGTAGAGATTTTTTTCCTTAATGTACTCTGTTTCTTAAAGATATATTTGGTAATAAGGTCATATACATTTTAGGGTAATTTCAGTATTTTTCGTCTAACTTTTCGTGCAAATACAGGCGAAAGAGTACGTGCTGTTTTAGCGCCATTAGTTCTCAATGCATTGGGCGATTGCTTATGCCCCACCGCAACCACATAACTTCGCGGCTGCAATGCTGTCACAGCGTATCGGACTGCTATACCCAAGTTTAAGGGTTCCATTCCGATCAACGAAGTGGAATTTTAAGGGCAAAAAATCCTTCGTACGCCTTTCTTCCGACAGTTTGATTGCTTTATTTCCGGTCGAATCTACTGCTAAGGTCATTAATCCTGTAAGTGTAGTGAAGTGTTCTTCCGCGTGGCGGCGGAGGTGTTCCCTCCTGGATGGCGAGATCCGGCTCCGACCTCCTGGTCGCTTTCGGTTTTCCCTCGACCAGGTATCTCCCACCAGCAGAACACCGCCCCAGCGGGAACAAGCTTTACGCTCCCATCACGAGGGGCTGTGTAGAGGATGCACGTGTGAGTGTGCGTAAGACCAGGGAGAGGAGAGGACACGAAATGGCACGGCAAGATCGCGCGCGGTCCGTGGCGCACTTGTTAGGATATTGCCCTGGCATTCGCCTGGTGCTGATCGGTGAAACAAAAAAAAAAGAACTACCGATCAGAGCAGCCGCTCGCCAAAATTCCACTCCTCTCAACGCTCCAATTCGAACGAGCTGCCTAGCTAGAGTGGGAAATTCTGCAACCGCAGAGTCAAACCCTCGGCCTGCCGGTCAGAGGCTCTGCAGTGGTACCAATTGATGTCATGAGCCTCCTATGCGTCGAAACCCCAAGCAGTGGACTTTGAAGGACGATACATGTGGTTCAATCCTCGTTGCTAATACGCCGGGACCTTATCCCATATGCCATGCACAGGCTGAATTTGCCAACATTGGATGCTCTTCATAGTGTAGTTTTGTAAATAATTAACGTTTAACTTTGGCCTATGCGCTTGTGCTAGCGTAATGGGCTACGGCAAAGCAGCGAGCGGTTAGACCTCGCCACTTCTCTGAAAAACTCAGTTGCTGCCACCATCCGAAAAGCCTCGCAAGCGACCACAAGACACATAGCGGCGCCTCAACGTCTCTCTGTCTCCGCTAGATGGCGAAAGGAGCGTATTGACATTTCCGTGGCCAGTGGATTGTGCTTAGATAACAAGGTCGAGTTCAGCCGAAGAACAATTCTAGAGGCCGCCTGTTCTGAGCGGTAGTTTACCGTGGTTTCCCCGATCAACACCAAGCGAATGCCAGAGCAGTACACTAATAAACGGGCCACGGACCGCGCGCGATCTTCCCTTCCCCTTTATTGTCCTATGCTGACTCCTTACACACACTTACCCGTGGGGAGGTTAGTGCTCGAGCGGGCTGGGGAACGCGTGACGTGCGCAGGGTGGGCGCTGCACGAGGCGGCGCTGTGGGGCCGCGCGGCGGCGCTAGAGCGCGCCCTGGCGGCGGCGCGCGCGGACGTGGAGGCGGAGGACCGCGGCGGGCGGCGCGCCCTGCACCTGGCCGCCATCTGCGCGCGCCTCGGCGCCGTGCAGCGCCTGCTGCGCGCCGGCGCAGACGCGCGCGCGCGCGACGCCGTGCGCCGCTGGACGCCGCTGCGCTACGCAGACCACATGCTGCGATTCACAGGTGCGATTCACAGCAGAAAAGCGTTAACGAAAAAATTACAAATGCGTAAACCATACATGATTAAACGCCTAAACGAATATGCAAGTGAACTAATGATCTAAAAAACGATAAACAGGATAGGTGAATACACGTTTAACTAGTCAACGCATAAACAAATGCACAAATGAGTCAGCTCAAACGAATTAGCGAACAAAGAAATAAGGAAACAACTGTGTTCTCGAATAAGATAATAAATAAAAGAATAAAACAAACGAATAAGCGCCTAAATGATTAACGAATAAGGCAAAAAATAAGGAATAAACGATAAACTAATAAAATCATAGACGATTAAGCGCTTAAAAATTAGTGATTAAACGAATAAAACAAACGAATAAGTGAATAATTGTTTAACAAAAAAGCAATAAAGGAATAAATGATACACCAATAAAAGCACAGGCGAATAAGGGAATAGAGATGAGCAACTGAAGGAATAAGGGAGTGCAAGAGTGAGGAGGCAAGGAGCGCTGACGGTGGCTTTGGGCGCAGAGGCGGACGTGTGCGCGGGCAGCGAGGCACACCTGCGCGTGGTGGACGCGCTGCTCGGCGGCGGCGCGCGCCTGCACGAGTCCAAGCGCTGCCTGCGCCACAAGGACGCGGCGCTGCGGGCCGCCCTGCGCCGCGACCTGCCGCACGTGGCCGAGGAGCTGCTCCGGCGCCAGGGCCCGGCCTTCCTGCAGCGGCGGCGCGCCGGCGCACTCATCCGCCTGGCGGCCGCGCACGAGAGCGCGCGTTGCGTCGCCGTCTTCCTGCGCAGGGGCTTCGACGTGCGCGACCACCTGGAGCGCGGCACCACGCCGCTGCACGTCTTCGCCGGCGACGGCGACGTCGGGCTGGTCGCGCGCCTGCTCAGGCACGGCGCGCCGCTGCAGGTACGGCTCGCCCGCGCGCTCGCCCGCGCGCTCGCCCGCGCGACGCGCTCGGGGCCACGTGCGAGGGGGGCGCCGCGTTGCAGGAGCGCACGTCCGTGTCGGAGCTCACGCCGCTGCACAAGGCCGCCGAGAACGGGCACGTGTCGGTGTGCCGGCTGCTGCTCGACTTCGGCGCGCACGTGGACTCGGCGACGGCGCTGGGCGTGACGGCGCTGCACGTGGCGGCGCGCAGCGGACGCGTGGAGGCGTGCCGCCTGCTGCTGCGTCGCGGCGCCGCCGTCAACGCCAAGGACTGGAACGGCGTCACGGCGCTGCGCTGGGCCGTGCGCGGCGACCACTACGACGTGTGCGCGCTGCTGCAGGAGTACGGCACCGACACCAGGTACGCCACTCCACTGGCGGAGATACCTGGAGGGTGGGTAGAGCGGGGAGTCCGGTCATTAGTCCAGGACGGGTAGCGGGTGTTTTGGCGCTGGCCGTCCCGACTTCTTAAGGCTATTTCCCCAAGGTGTCGCACGACAAAGCCACACGATACCGCCCAGCCGCGACAAGCTCTAAGATGACGACCGGTCTCCCGGCATGAGTACTGCATGTTAGTGTAAGGGGTGAGGATAGGAAACAGAGGAAGGAAAGATTGCCGACGTCAGGGACTGCCTACGCCCCATAAACCAACGGGGAAGCCTCTTGCGCATCGTATCCAACTTCAGCCAATGAGCGTCAGACACAACTATGTGTTACATTATTTGCGGGAGTTTTAAATGCTGCCAGATACCAAAATTATCACCTTGTTGCGAGACATTGAAACAGATTTATGAAGCATTTCTTTTAAATATTGCTTCTTTTACACCTTCATCGTACTGGTTTTCTTTGTTTGCCGTTGAAAACTGTCACTTTGTTCCACTTTCAAATGTTTCTCAACACTTCACGGTCTCCGTGCAACACGGCGGCCAGCGACTGGCCTGGCTTTTCAAACTAATTACCCTTGCCGTGGTCTCGTGGTTCGTGACGCAAACTGGTGTTGCGCTGAACGAGCAAACATCGATGCGCTGGACTAATTCCCTGTGTATTTCCACCTTGGTATATTCTATGTAAATATGAATTCATGTGAACTAGTGATGCGACGTCGATGTCAACGTTTTCTAAACATCGATGCTTTTATAGAAACATTGATGTTTTACACATCGCTTTGTTGAAGACGATGTTTTTTGACATCAATGTTTGTTCTAGATTTTTTACGTTTTCTATGTTTTTGTTGTAAATGAGAAATTCCCTTAATGATTTTGTTTAAGTTTAAACATGACAAAATAATTGAAGAAAGAGTCGGTTTTTGTGTTGCAACCAAACAAACCCTACTTGTAACCACCTTTATTGATCGGACTATTTTTTCGCCGGGGATGATCCCAAAGCCTTCCTTCTTACTTCGTACATGGAGAGACGGCCAGCGTATGAGCTTTAGTTGCATGGCCTCCTTTGGAGTAGTGAGGACTGACCCCAGGCGCCGAGGCTTAGTTTTGCTCATTTATAAAATATGTTTTAAGACACGTTTCCAAATAAATCTTACTTTTATGATACTAAACACTGTCGCAACAATATAGATATTTTTGACCACGAATTTAACGTTTCAGATTACTACACCAGCTTTAGAGTATCAATGATTTTGGTCGATGTATTAATTTCGATGTTTTCATTTTCAACATCGATGTTTTGTTACCGATGTCGCATCCTTGTCATGCACACGTATGCACTAAACGGCCACGTATCAGGAATCCCAACACCGTAAGGTTAGAGCTTGTGCTGGCTGGCGGTGACGCGCTGTAGGAGATACCTGGGTTGATTGACAGAGTGCGTCTACTGCTATTGTCGTTAGTCCTGTAAGTGTCGTGCATGCTTTTATCGCGAGACGTGGCGGTGATCTTCCCCTGCGAGATCCGGCACCGACATACCGCACTGGCACCAAGTCCCGCCCACACCCTATGGACACGTGCATTTGCACGCACTAGATATTCTCGTACTAGCAACACCGTTGGGCAACTTAGCGCATGCCTAACCCGACCGCTCCCACAGGAGTTGTTCTTCCCTTTTAAGAAAAATGTATACATTTGTAAGCTGCTTTTCTAGATTATACCGGATTTTATGTCAGCCACCTTGAAAATGTTCGGCTTCAACAAGAAATTGCAAGAAACCATAAAAAGTCCGAACTTTTTCGGTTTTCCGCTCGTAACTCGAAAACTGCGCTTTTATCGAAACAGCATATATTCATATATTCCCTTTCATTTTGTGAAAAACGTTTTAGGTGATGAAATGCGGTGAAAAACAGTAACTTCCTCCTGCTCCGCCCCGTCTTTCGTAGGCTTTCTAGTTTCACAATCTCATTCTTGAACACAACTATTTCGACTGAATTTTTGTTTATTGATTAATTATCCGATAATCGAGGAGTCAGTAGGCACTCCCAAAAAATACAGAATTGTTGAGAAAATAACTTCCAGAACTTTTTCCTGGGTCAGCCACCTAGTGACTGGACTGTGCGTGCGTGTGTTCCCCACTCACCCGTCTATTTGGGTGTCTTCTGGTAGATCAAATAAAATCGCAGAGTTGAGGAGAATTCAAGCGAACGGTTGTTCTGATCGGTAGTTTTCCGTCGATTCTCCGATCAACACCAGGCGAATGCCGGAGCAGTACCCTAACAAACGGGCCACGGACAGAGCGCGATCTTTCCTTCCCCTTCCTTGCCCTTTCCTCTTCCCTTGCACGTACTTATTCATAAATACCACAGTATCAGCCTTGTCAGGAGCTCAGAGTTTGTTCCGGATGGGTTAGTGACCCGGCGAGGGAGATACCTGGAGGTGGAAAAGCGCGCATACCGCCGATGTGGCCCGCTCCAGACGCCGTGCCAAGCAGGCGCGCCGCAAAGGCGCGCGGGAGTGAGCGAGTGCGCGAGTGCGTGCGGTGGCGCAGGTTCCTGGACGCGGCGGCGCCGTCGGCGACGTTCCGCAAACTGGCGGCGGAGGGCAACGCGACGCTGGTGCGGCTGCTGGTGGAGAGCGGCGCGTCCGTCAACGCCGCCGACGAGGGGGGCGTGCCGCCGCTGCACTGGGCCGTGCGCGCGCGCAACGCAGCCCTCGCCCACGCGCTCATCGACGCCGGCGCTCACGTCGACGCCAGGTGCGCTGCGCTGCGCTGCGCTGCTCCCTTTGAGCCCCCGAGGTGAAGAGTGGAGCACAGGTCCTTGTCGGCTTTTAAGATTTCAAAACTGCTTGAAACCCTCATTAACCACATTTGGCATCGCAACAAATACATTCGTAAAATAACACATCGTATACATTATGTATTTACCACAAAGGAAAGGGAATAAAATACGCTTTCATAAAATTAAAAAGGTTCGAGATAAACAACTTGAGCGCTAAACTAGCGCCCCGCCCCGTTGCGGGATTCGTTGCCACCATGGAGCGCGTACGTTTCTATTCATAGAGTACAGCAGAAAAGCGCCACGTTTGGCATCACTGTCGCCATAAGAGGCCGTCCTTCATTCTTAACCTCGGACGCGCAATAGTCACGTCACCTGCAAAATCGGTGACTCATTCAAATTTCAATACATGTACAATAACTTTCGAATCACTCTGCAAAATGTACGTAAACTAAAAATCTTTCAAACTTATACACTTCGTACTTGATATCACAATGGTTATGACAGGTCGGGCCACTAGGGCCGCTAGCTTCAAGTGTCTTCCGTTATATCGCCGAGTGTCATTTATTGTCTGGATAGTATTTACTTATAAGTAAGCGAATCATTGCCGCAAAACCTAGAAATGAGAAGGAAGACCACAATGCCTTGACCTTACACGTTAACATGAAAGTTCACAAGCACCAAGCTTTTACGATGTTTTTTAAACTTATTTATTTTAGGTCTCTTTTCAACTTCTTGGTCACTAGCAACCTTACATTAAGTATACGTCGGAATTCTACCGAAGACCAATCAGAGAGCAGCATGAGAGAAACAAGTGCACAACAAAATGCGGGAGAAGCAATTTGAAGGGCGATTTCAGATTGTCTGTAGTTACGTACATATTATTATATAATACATATTAATAGGTTATGCATGTCATTGAATATCACATGCAATGACATGTCAATAAATGTTGTCTGTCGTTATGTTATTTCATCATGGTTTTGTAGTGAAATATTTTGCGGGCGGTTTGGTGCAAGATGTGACACCAAAGTAAGATTTTGGGTCACGTTTCTTGTGATTTGAACTTGACATGACCAATAAAGGAATTGCGATTGACGAATTACTCGTGAATTTGGTACAAAAGAATCATTGTTTACGTGGTTAAGGGAATGCGCCAATGCGACAGCTACTCGCACATACGAAAGGCTCAAATCGACAGGAATGTAGAAGAAAAGGCTAAAAACAAAACGGTCAATCTTCAATACGTTGAATTCTAATTGGTTCAGGCGAAATTTACGTTCGTCCTTGTGAATGCTCGTTTTTACGTGGAAACTTACTGCTAAGTCTACAAGAAAACGTTATGGTTAAGATCGCGTCGAGAACGAGGCCTAACAGCCAGGAAGTCTGTGAGGAGGAGACTTAACGCCTGTGGTGGGGCTCTGCATGAAAAGCATCGGCAGCTACACGGACTTGCTTAGCTTCAGCGAAATCACGCGGGCTATATGGGAACCATATGAGGCGTTTTCGGCCAATCCCCACCAACCTCACAAGTCAAACCCAACCACGTTTACAGACGCACACTAAAGTGTAAATGGCGTCGGTGAAATACGTGTAGGCCTGTCGTTGTTGGCTGAAGAAAACAATTAGGTAAATGCCTTCATTTACCACGTGATGTTGCTGAAGCAATGCGAGTTCGACTAGCTGCCTATGCCTCCAACAACCGAGTTGAGCCTCCTTATTGCAGAGTTCGAGCTCATAGCAGCCGGCGTCGCTAGCCGAATAGCTTAAGCGCGCTCGGTCAAATCACGTAGGTTAAGCAACTCGAGATTTCGCCGGTTCCTGGATGGGTGACTGTCGGTAAACCCTATTCCTAACGACGCCAAGTCTCTGAGCGGAGGGACAACGCGCAACGACTGACTACGACCGACGATGACTGGAGGGAAGTTTCTCAACCACACGGGGCGTCGTAGGTGACTATAATTGAACCTCGATACGAATTAACATGACAGAACTTACACAAGGCCTCATTTAACCTGACCCAACAGATGGTGATCTGACAGGCGACGAACAGGCACGAGCTGATATGACTTGACTTTACCTTGCATTACCAGTATAAACTACACTACCCTAACGTACCCTAACTCGTTTGATCGGACTTGACCTAAGCTGGCTAGAACGGACTTAACCTAACATAGCAAGATGTAAACAAACCTAAAAACCTAAAATAAATTCGATTATTCTAAACTGATATTGCGTTAATTAAACTAAACAGGCTTCAACGGCCCTAAACTAATCTACAGATCTAACCTGGTTTCAACGAAACGAACCTAACTTAGAGGTAAACTGATTTCAAGGGGTCTAACCCAACCTGAAGACCTAAACTGACTTCAACGGACATAAAATAACCTTAAATTCTAAATTGAATTCAGTAAATCTAACCTAACCTGGCATGACCCACCCTGAGTCGAGTCGAGTCGGGCCGGGCCGGGCCGGGCCGGGCCGTCTCGTGTCGGAACGCGTTGAGCCGAGCCGAGGGTGGGGTTGGGGTTGGGGTTGGGGTACGCAGGAGCGGCAAGGGCGAACCGGCGCTGCTGTGGGCGGCGCGCGCGCTGAGCGACGACATGAGCGCGCTGCTGCTGTCGCGCGGCGCCGCCGCCTCCGTCTCCGCCGCCGCCGACGGCCAGACGGCGCTGCACCTGTGCGCGCGCCTGGGCCGCGAGGCCGCCTGCCAGCTGCTGCTGCGCCACGGCGCCGACGCCGACGCGCGCGACGCCCAGGGCCGCACGCCGCTGCACCTGGCCGCCGCCGAGGGCCACTTCCTCGTGTGCCGGCTGCTGGCCGAGCACGGCGCCGCCGTCAGCCTCCCCGACGCCCAGGGCCGCACGCCGCTGCACGCCGCCGCCGCCGAGGGGCGCGAGTGGGTGCGTCTCACACTTATTTACGCGACAAGTCCTCTCAATTAGTCCTTATGGACGAGGCCGGAAGACCAACTGCGACTCCTTAAGGACTAAATGAGGACATGTTACATACAAAGGTTTTTTGTATTTCTAGTTATTTTAAACAAACATTTCACGCTTTCATGAGTTACGAAGTCATCACTCTCGATATTCTGTAGCACAGGTGGTTGGTACAGAGTTTTGGTACTCTTTTTAAATAACAGTCGCAGCGCGCGGAAGGACCAAAAAGACGAAGAGGGACAAATGGGGACAAGCGGGGAAAGGAGGATCAAGAGGGCAGGGGGAAAAATGGACAAAATTGGAAAAGAGAAAGAAAGGAATAAAATGGAGAAAGGGAGACAAATTAGACAATGGGGATTATGAAAGAAACGGGACAAATGGGAAAGGGACAAAATGTGACAAGACGATAGAATGGGATTGAGAAAATTGAACGGGGAACAACATGAGAAAAGGGCAAAATGAGACAATGGGGACAAAATTAGGCAAGGGGAATGAGCCATTGGGTCAATGGGACAAAATAGGTCAATGGGACAAGCGGAAAATGGGACAATAAGACAAAGGGGACAATCGGACAAAATGTATCAAACTGGGACAACATGGGAAAGGGGACAAAATGGGGCAATGCTAACGATGGGACAAAATGGGAGGAGGGGGCAAAATGAGACAAGAGGGCAAACGGGAGACAAAATGGAACATGGGATGAGGGACAAAATGAGACAATGGGGACAAAATTACGCAATGGGGATGAGACATTGGCCAATGGGAATGGGACATGGGGGACAAAAGGGACGAAATGAGACCAAAAGGACAAGAGACATGGATATCAAAAGAGACAGAACTCTTTAAACCTGAGAGTCCGCTAAATGTTTTTAGGGACTCTCGAGCATTTTGTTGGAGTTGCTATGGACGCGCTCTGGAAGCGTTGTTTAGATTGTTGGTTGCTAAGGACTTAAATAACAAAAAGTCATTATTTTTTTCCGTGACAACAAAGCCGTTCAGAAGATTGATTTTATTCATTCCTGGCGCGTCAACTACTGTGGTCATTAGTCACGGAAGTTTAGGCCATGTTTCTCCTCGGGAGGTGGCGGTGATCTTCCCCCGCTGGAGGGCGAGATCCGCGCCGTCCTACACGTCGGCAGGCGGGGTTCTCCCCAGCCAGGTATCTCCCACCAGCGGGGCACCGCCACCTCCCGAGGAGAAGCATGTACTATGCGTTCGAGACGAATGCCCTCGGCAGTCGACGCTCCCGTCGTCCCCTCATAGCAACTCGCTGAGTGAAGCACGCGCGTGGCGGCGGCGGCGCAGGTGGTGAAGCTGCTGGTGGAGCGGTGCGGCGCCGACGTGGAGGCGCGCGGGGGGCCGGCGGGGGGGACGCCGCTGCACGCCGCCGCCCGCAGCGGCCGCGCGCGCGTCTGCCGCCTGCTGCGCGAGTACGGCGCCGACGCCCTGGCGCGCGACGCCCTCGGCGCCACGCCCCACGACGCCGCGCGGGACGCCGGCCACCCCGCCGCCTGCGACGCCCTGCCCTCGCCCCGCACGCCCGTCACCGACCTCTGACCCCGCCACGGAGCCCGGCCCAAAACTCTCTGCAATAAATAAACAATTAAACAAAATATTAAATGTTATGGCCCCTGGCTCACAAGAAGGGGTGCCACATCGATGTCCATCTTTTCATATCAAACGACATGTAAGCCTCTGCCCACCCACCCGCTCTCAAGCTTGCGACATCTCCTCCTCCTCCTATCCCCTCTAGCGGGGTAGTGCCACTGCCAGGTGTAAAGTCATCCCCTCCACACAAGAGTAAACAAGTGTTCCCCTTCAAAAATACAATTCGTTTTATTTTGGCCAGACATTCCAATAGGGATGCCACACCAATGTCAACGTCTTCAAGGCGAAGGAACAGCAGAAACCTCCTGCCAAGGAGCTCTGTCCATCTCAGGCTTGGGGTGGGGGGTGGGGCTCCTAATGTCTCCTCCTAGAGCTCCTAGATAAGGGAGTGGTACAGTCTCAATTGCTAAGACCCTTTCACCCTCCAGACCCGATCCACAAGATAGCGTTCAAGAGTTTCCAGTGTTGAAATGACACAATAAAAGGCGTTTTGGAGAGTTTCCAGTGTAGTGAGAATGGTTATTGGTACATACGTGGTTCCCAACTCACCCACAATTCCGCACAGTTGAACGGGACATAAAATGGCGGATCGGTAACACAAAATTACACGCTACTCTCTACATACATGGTCCCAATCTCCTCCTTTAGTCACTAGATTCACGTATTCCATTGTTACACCCATCCCGCCATTTTATGTCCAGTTGTCGGGAGTATTGGATCTGTGTGGTATTCTGTGTGTTCGATTACCAAATCAAAAAAACCTACTTATGATAACTGTCCTGTTGATTTTTTCGCTTTATTTTGACCCTGAAATCTAGATTAAAAAATAAACGATACCACTTTCAAATTAACACCTCAGGTGAACTTCAATGGTAACTAATCCTGTTCTAAAAGCGTCGATGTTTAGTAATATCCCTGGTTTGGAGTGGATGCTTTATTAACATCGATGTTTGAATTTTGAGCATCGGTGTTTAGCAATATCCCTGGTTTGGAGTGGATGCTTTATTAACATCGATGTTTGAATTTTGAGCATCGATGTTTTGTTGCCGACGTCGCATCTCTACAATCAAGCCATGCTGTTATTCGTAGTTCAGGCAAGTATGTGATTTTTTACTCATTCTGGAACAGTTGAGAACCAGCGAACTCATCGCTCTGCGAAATGTGATCCTCCGTCAGCCTTAGGGAATAAACCGTCAGCAGTTAATGCATCGAAGGGGCGGTTCAGACGGTGCAGATGACTAGACAACGAGGGAAATGTTTCTTGGGTAATTTACATTGTCGCCATATTGCTGCCACGGATTCACGGAGAGGGAAATCCCCCTCCCCTAAAATTATTCAGTGACTATTAATTTTAACTGGCCACGAAATTTTGAAGCAAAAGTATTTTCAGATAGTCATTAAAACGATAAAGATCATATCGCAACATGAGCCGAGTGTAGCCTGCGACATTTTACCAAATCTGTAATGACACATCCACCAAAATATTTTGAATTTCCCCTCCCAAAATTTGTCTCTGGATCCACCCCTGCATAACGTGACTAAAAAGAATATTGTAAGAACTGATACAACTTTGGTGGAATGAAAGAATCTAAGAAAGGAAACGGAGTCCAAAAAACAGACTTTCAAGAGGCCGCGTTTTAATTTCCATTGCACTTTTAATTAAGCTCGCAATAGACTACATTTACATACAGAATTAAGTATGCAAGAGTATTTCTTTAAACGACTGTTTGAAGGTGTATTTTCCCGCACTCTAGCTACATAAGTAATGTGGATCATTTCTAAAAGGTAATCACCTGCCTCGTCTCCTCCCCCAATTTCGTTCGTCTTCAATGAGGGTCGATTGATTCATTGGCGATTTTGGGCGTAGCATCGGATAAGACCATTAATCCCGTAAGTGTAGCGTGTGTTTTATCGCGCGAGGTGGCTGGCGATATCCAGATCCAACCTACGATGGTATTTCTAGATTTCGGTTTTTTTCTGCAACCAGGTGTCCCGCACCTGCAACCAGGTATCTAGCTCCAAGCTTCTGACAAGTGTGATGGTATAGTGCATGTAAGTATAGGTAAGGGGTAGGATAGAACAAGGAGTGATCGCGCGCGGTCCGCGCCCCATTTGTTAGGGTACTGCTCCGGTATTCCCCTGGAGTTGATCGGAGAAGCCAGTCACGGAAAACTACCGATCAGAGCAGCCGGCTGCTCAAGTTCCCTTCCAGACAGCGGCTGAATTCGACCTAGCTGAACACGCTAGCGTCGAAAATCCTGCCACTGTCAGGACTCGAAGACTAGGATCTCCATCAGAGGCACTGCAGGGACACCAGTTGATGCCCTGAGCCACCTTGGCTGGTCAATGAGTGTCAAAGAAAGGAACACATGACTGAACAGACAATACCGGACGTGAAGTTTACTTCGTTGATTTTTTTTTTCTGTGGATCCATTCAGAAAGTTCTAAGACATTTCTCTATTTTTGTGTTAGCTTTTAAGAAACAAACGCTTTGTGGGTGAATTACGGCACCTACTGAAGTGATCAATGACTCTTTTAGTTTCTCCCGATAAGACAAATCGAGTTGGGACAATTTTTAGGTTTACACAAGGAAGTTCTGAAAAATTCTAGAAAAACGCGTGTTTTTGTTTTGTCGTATACCTACGTTCATACGCAGAACTGTATATCGCAGGGTTGTGCAACTGGCGGTCCACTGCCTGTGGCGCGCGCAAGGGTATGAGTCAAAGTGGAAGTCCTCCACGTCAAGGGAGCGCCCTGCCTGGGTAAAGAACCCTTTGATCCAAAAGTAGGTTAGGTTTACATCTAAGGGCGTTATCTAGTAAATTTAGAAATTCAAAATCATCCCAATGTGTTCCACTGTATACGGCTTGCTATCATGCTTGGTTCCACCCCACCCACAATTAATGAAAATACGGCCCCCAACTACACGAAAGGTTTTAGATGCGTCTTTTGAGACCTTGGAAGTTGGACAGCCGTGTTATATAGAACAGAGAAAGTTACGTAATTCTGTGGAAAATCTATTCAGAGATTTCAATGGAAAGAGACTGTTTGGGGTCTCCTGGTGGCAAAATGTGTTTTTTCTAAACCGTACGCCAGTCTGTCACACTTCACACCGCGTTGAGCCCTGCCTCTACGATTCCCCCAGCAAAAGGATTTGCAAGAAGTTCAGTATCGCTTTTCATGATCTTAAAACCATTTAACCTATTATGTTTCTTTCGAATTCCCTTCTCGCCATCTTGAATGTTTGCGCTCATTGTCTGAGAGGCCCTTCTCTTTTTACTCTTATGCTACCTCCAAACATCAATAAGATATTGAAATATCAATACAAAACTGGTTGCACATACGGGCTATTTGATTCAACAATTGACGGTCGCTACTCCTACTATCTTTCAATAATAAATATTCCAATACGAGTATTCACGCAAGAGGTCGTATCACAGTGATCCAGTCATGATAGTTTTCATTCAGAGGGTCCGATGGGCCTCCTACCTTGGATCTCGGCGGCGAGGTACTTTCGTACACTATTGTGTACCTTGTCCTTCATGGGATTACGGATACTCCTTGCTGTTACACATAAATAATAATACTTACTTCTGTGGAAGGACAGATAATATTGTATTCTACAAGAAACATATACGCACGCAATGTCCCCATTCCAAACAAATATAAACACAATATTCACACAGAATTCCTCATGGTTACTTGTGTGGCGTCGTTAACACTAGGGCCAGAACCGTTAGGTCGGTGAAAGTACGCTGCGGGGGAGGAAGGGGTTGAGCCTGAACTTCCGGGAGTTTGCGCTCTGGCGGGTGACTCAGGTAGAACCGCAGAGCCAAAAATACCGTAGGCTGTAAACTCCGAGGATGCTAGCCTGCGAGCCTCGTTTACGGAAGCAGGCAGCCAACCTGAGAATCCTGTGTGGGGGCGTAAACCAAGGCTGGCCAGCGAGCCTCGCGCCAGCCGGCGAGCCTATCTATGGAACAGTGGTGGGGGTGTCAGCCTCAACTATTTAACGCGGCGCCCGCGTTCTTATTCAGTTAGCATCGGGGAGCTTGTACGTGTATGTACGAGGAGTGTGGGCGAGATGTCCGGAGAGTAAGGGTCAGACGATCTCACGTGCTGTAGGCACACGGTCGCCACGACCGGGTTAAATTTTGGCGTCAGGCCATGTGACGGTAATTGTCACGGGACCGAGGTCCGACAGCGCGCATCACGCGTGGCTTGTATTTTCTGCGGTAAAGCAGGGTTCTGAAAGGAAAAGGTTGCCGGAGTGTTTTAATATTAGCAATTCATTGTAACTTGTGCATAATCTTTAATCTATTATTTTTCTTTTGTTATTGAAATTTATTTCTTATTTCACTACGTCACACTTGTATATGATTCTTTTGTTTTCCCTCCCTTAATGCATTCATGGCCATCTACCCCTCTGAATATTAAATTACATCTTAGGACAGAACTTGATCTTCCTCCACAGGTGAAATTAAACAAAATGTTCCGCTTTGGTTCATTTCCCTTTCGTAGAATGGCTGCATTATTGACCTTCATCCCGTCATTTCATTTGCATTTAGTTGTCACCAATCAGTCCAGCGTCTACACACTCGTTTTCTCATTTTAACTCCGGACGTTTCCTAACAAATACTATTCATAACGTCTTTATAATTTCATTACTTTATCAACCGCGTTCCAAACTATCGCGTGAAAGCTATATCTTACGTCCGCTTCCAACTTCTCAACACGGGAATTCTCGTCCTCGCACCGGCCGCTTCCGGGTCCAAGCGCCGTCTGCCCGCTTGTTCAGTCCACGAGCCCTTCGTTCGCCCCAGCGCCCTGCGCGGGCGAGTGCTCCGACGCGCTTCTTCACCCTTCGGCGCACGACAGCACCACTCGAACACCACACATCTCCTGATTTGGCATTTAACCACTTTCACCGACCGATTTCACCCCTCCCCCACGGAATTTGCTCACGTGTCCTTACGATATTTCATTTATTAAAACGTTTTCCATTTCACTCGCTGTTGCTTACGTTCATATTCCCTTGGATTACATTTACATGTTTCTATCCTCCTTTGGTTCATTTTCTGTCCTCCACTGTTACTATGTTCGTATTTACTTTTATCATGTATCATTCTGTCCACGTTTCTTTTCCTTTGTGATAACCTATCACAATTGCTCCCTCCGCAGAGCGGGAAGCAAAAGATAACTCGCGTTGCCGCTAGCGGATAAGGCGGTCAACCGCCCCGCACTCCCCTCCCGAAACCATTTCCTCAGGGCATCCATCGCCTCCTCGTGTGCCATAGACGGGCGTGCTTTTCACTGGTTGGGGAAGACAGTCGCGAGGAGGCGCTCCACACGGGGAGCAGGCAGGGCAAGTCGCCTTCGCGATTGGATTTATTAAATGTGTTGGATTCTTTGTTAGTACTAAATAGTTAGAACATTGTGGGAACATTAGCTCCCGCTTCTCCGGCAGTTGGAATGTATCACTAACGGACGAACGCAAAGAAGACATCCCCCGGGCGATATCCATCCCGAGGACATCCGACAAATCGACCTACAAGTCATCTCCGTAAGTTCACGAACTTTATTTTTAAAAACACGTACGGAATTTAAACCCTCCAATCGGCCACCCATTGTGGCGCATAAACGAAAGTTATTAAAGATAAAGAAGCCGTTTTATTGCAGTACACTTATCGTGCGGTGACAAACTGATAGCATCTTAGGGAGGACAATGTAAAATTCGATTGTGAAGCATGGTTTTACAAGCATTTGTTGTAAGTATAATCTTTACGAATTTGTTGTTTGTTGCCAGTATAATCTTTACGAATAGTTAAAAAAGTCTGTGATTTCTAAATTTCTTGTAGCAAAACCATCGATTCGCTTCTTAGCGTCGTAGATAGCACCTTCCCCCCGCGAGTCCAACCCAGTTCTGAATCCTCCGGAACTCAAGTTTTTGTATGCGAGAAGACTTACCTAAAGGAACGCTCCCATGCCTCCGGATTCAAAACACCGATTGATATCAACTACACAGATCGGACGTCATTCAATTTTAAACATAGCAATGCCGTATTTTTATAGCAACTACTTAACTTTTTCGTGGTAATTTTCTTAGCAACTTTCCCGGGGTTCCCCGATCTCTGTCGCAAAGACGCATCGTCGACACCCATTGTTCGGCAAGCGAGTGACGTGGACCGCTTATCGTCTCCTATCGGCATCTCATAAAAGATTGCGGGGGAGGCAACGCGTCGCCAGTTGCGCGAGCCCCTGCCGCCAAAAGGCTTCGGCAGAGACCGCGAGTCACGAGCCACTTTGATTGTTCGTGGCCAGGTAAGCTCCAGCTTTCCACTTGTTTATTTTTTAATTGATTAATGACTCCGGGCGCTACGGGTCCTGCTAAAGTCATTAGTCCTGTAAGTGTAGTGCAAGTGTTTCATCGCTGGAGGTGGGGGTGATCTTCCTTCGCGGTATGGCGAGATCCGGCGCCGACGTACCGTCAACGAATGGGGTTTTCCTCAACCAGGCACCGCCCCAGTCGGGACAAGCTCTAAGCTCCCGGCCGGTCTCCAGGCTTGTGTGGCAGAGTAGTGTGCGTTAGTGTCAGTGTGTGTGTGTGTGTAAGGGATGAGGATAGGACAAGAAAGAGCGCGCGCGGTCCGTGGCCCGTTTGTTAGGGTACTACCCCGGCATTCGCCTGGTGTTGAGAGAAACCACGAAAAACTACCTATCGTAAGAGCCGGCCTCTAAAATTCTCCTCTAGACAGTGGCTGGTTTCAACCTAGCTATGTATCTATTGTCGAAAATCCTGCCGCTGCCGCGGCTCAAAGACTATGATCTCCCGGTCAGAGGCACCGCGGTGAAATCAATTGATGCCCTGAGCCACCTAGGCCGGCAGAATCGGTAAACACTGAATAACACTAACAGATTGACAAAATCGTCTATCGAAATAAAATTGGAGTATCTGTATATACATATACAGGCAAATTCAATTGTATTTACGATTTTTATCAGTCAGTTTGTCCCTTTGAATGGAACGGATAAACTGACTACGATGTTATTTTTCATTGAAGGCTAGTTTGTTGGCCTGGCATATATTCAGCTTTTTCAATTTCTTATTTTATCTTATATAAAGAATAAGCTTTGTTTGTTTCTTTTCTTTCGTATAAATCTACAATTTTATTCTAATCTTAATGAAATTTTGTATAAGTGACCTTTACAACAAGAGTTAAGTTACTGGCTAAATGAGAATTCGAAAAAAATTTATATTCCTTGCATCGATTTTAAAAGGAAAGCTACAACTCTGTTTCAGCCTCGACCGAAAATCGAAAAGGGTAGTAGCCGGTCCATCAGCCATTCTACCAGACTTACCAGTATAAATTCATTATCATTTATGAAACAATGGTTATTGAGTGAAGAATGTTCGCATGGGACTAACTACTTTAAATATATTTATCAATTACACACAATTAATGACATTTATGTATATGCTTCACAGTTTATGGGAGAAAACTGGGTGAGTAATTAATGAAACAAAGCACGGAAGTTCAAGCGTATTACTTTCATTGATATCTGCACCACTTCGTTGTGTATTTAAAGGTAGATCAGAGAAAAAATCGGATGCATTAAAAAGAAAATTAATATCGTTTTATTAATGTGACAAGAAATTTCAGAGCGGTAGAGCCATTAAAAATATGAACCGAGCCAGATTCAGAAATAATACGATTCTCGTAAGCACACAAGCACATGAATCTATGAATTCATTGTTTAGTAGTTGTAATAATTAATTGTAACACCCTTATTCTTTTGACCTATTCTTCCACTCAACATTACTTACTTTCTAGAAGCTATTTCTAATTATTAAATAACCCAATATATAAGTCATGCCATTTATACGAGAAAAATGCTATTTTATTAACATTTCTCTACCTCTTTTTTTATGTTTGATTTCTGGAGATACCAATCGCATTGCTTCTAAGTATTTCGCATAATTTTTCTTTCGCATATATATATATATATATATATATATATATATATATATATATATATATATATATATATAGCAGTTTACAAACTTCATTCCTTTCATAATGCACTTACTAATAAAGTAAAGTTTTTATAAAAAATGAGCAAATATTGAAACAAATTTTTCTTTCAGTGTAAAAAGATGCCTATGAAAAAATAAAAAAACAAGCACTTCAAACATTACAATGTTATATCCTGCAACGAACTTCAATACACATTGCGTAGGTAATTTGAGTTCTGCTTCTTCATCGAACTTCAAAAACAAAAGCATGCTCGAAGTTCTCACACTTTGCAGAAAAATGCTTATTTTGACTCCATTCAGAAATACTGAATCTTTAGGAAGTGAATACCTAAATATAGGTATGCTTTACCATGATCTCTGAAGAGATAAGAACTTATCACTTGTAATCAAAACATGTTATCAACCACTGACATTCCAAATCTGGCTTAAACATATTGAAATTCGAAGGAATTCAATCGAATATTCTTTTGCAATGCTTTCTCATCGTACTTTCCTTTTGAAAGTACACGAGGCAACGAAAGACAATTGATAAATAGAGAAGTTCCTAAAGCATTTGACAATTATTCCAGATGCGTTTGAAACCATGTAATTTGCTCTATTTACCTTTCTGTAATCGCGGCCTAAAAACTTCGAGTTTAGTAGCGGCGATCCCACATATTATCTACCTCAAATTTTACCAAAATTTTATAGCTATTAACATACCTATAAATGTTATGAGTTATTACTGCCGATGCCAAAAGTTAAAAATCGAGGCGGAGCGTAGCGGAGCCGAGTTTTTTAATTTGGACGAGGCAGTAATAACACTGTAACATTTCGTGGAATGTTCAGCGTTTTATCGGTCACCATAAAATCTCAATTTTTTTGAGAAAATTTACATTACTGCGATATGCAACACATGAATTCTGGTGTTGCGGCACGATCATCGATATTGTTGGTGGGTGGCGGAGCTCCACCGTGGCCGAATCTCATGTTGAGAAGTCTTTGGTATATAAAGTGAAAATGGCAACAAAAAAAAGTGCAACAAAATAATACTAATTTACCAAATATTGATTTTTCAAACTGCACAATTAATAACAATATAATTCATAATGAACATCCCCAAAAATAATGCGTTTCTTTGATTACTATTTGTATTTTAAATTACTATGTGATTTTTTCGTAATAATGTTGAGTTGTAATGAATGGGTGGTTATTTATTTAGGTTACTAAGGATGTTAAAACCCGTTGTTAAGGATTTTAAATTTCCTAACCTACAGGCAGGTACAAGTGCACTTAACAAACTTATAAGGTTGCATGTTAACAAGGGTTAAAGACGCCTGTGAACGATAAAAGGAATTAAACGACGTTATTTGGTTGGGCATTAGATAAACAGTTCATTAGAAAAAACAAAACTTTGTAAATTAATGCAGATAGTGCATTAGAATGAATGTTTTTAGATATTTACGATTTCTTCCATATTTTCTTTATTATTGAAATTCATGGTCGAATTTATAAAAAAAATCCAAGAAAATACAAACGAGACGAACAGTGTGTCAAGAAATGTATTAAGATACATGAAGACAATTAAGCGACATTGCTCCCATTTAACCACAGTGTATTAATAAATGAAAAACACACTGTGCATTGAATGGAGAAAATTAATTAATTGCATTAAATAGAGACAAAAACGTTGTTCAAGAGTACTCAGTTTAATTTGTTCAGAAATAACGAAGAAGGAAACATTGTATCCCAAAGTTGCGAAAATGTAATACACGACGCTGTATGGGGTCAAACAAACCACTTCATCTCACCAACTAGTTCACCTGTAAAGATGCAACTGCACAAAAGTTCCTTTGAGATTTGTTGCGACTTGACACACAACACTCCTTCCATCACAACCCAAGATGATTGCAGGCCACTTTTCCAAAAATGTCTTGGACTAACCCTTTTTATATTTTCAGAACAATTTTTCATTTCACAAGATCAAAAAATTTAATTTCGTTGATCGATATTCGTGTTAGTTGCTGCTTTACTTCTCTTCTCATAAAATTCAACTATTTGTTCGGAAAGACGATTGGGATTAATTTTGTTGATGTGCCCATAAATATTTAGTCGACGCTTTCTGATATCTCTCTGAATATCCGAATATTGTCTGAGTTGTGTTTTGATTCAGAGTCTGTACTTTTCGTCTGTGAATTCTCAACCTCGAATTTTCCTAATGATTTTGTGTGATTTTCTATGATCATCACCACCATTATCATCACCACCCTCACCATTATCACCATCACCGTTACCACCAGCATCACTATCATCGCCGTCGTCATCATCGTCGTCATTATTGTCATTATCATCATCGTCATTAGTATTGGCGTGTAGGCCATCACTGATCACGCTACACGATTCACGTGTGTAACTTTTCAGCTGTATCCCTGAGTGCGACAAGGTTGTTACCCCTTCAAGTGTGAATTATGAGATGATAGGATGAGGGTGAAAGGACAATCAGAAATACGGCCATGTCTACGCAGGACTCGAACCTGCAGCCTCCTCGGCACAGACGACGGCTGCCGCAAC